AATTCCCATATTAGATCCAAAATCTAACTCGTGGTGGTCTTCTTGCTCAAATTGTTGCGCTTGAAATTAATTTTGGTATTAATTTTGAAATCTAACTCCTATCTCATCCTACTTCATTTGTTTTAGTGGTACTTAACTAAAAGTAAAATATTTGTTCAAAATGAACGTTCACGAGGAGCATGTCATGTAAAAATAAGAGTAAACGTAGATGGAAGAAGATTATCTCTTCTTCTTCTTCTTTTTATTTAAATAAAATTATATTTATTTTTATTTATAAAATAATACTTATTTATGATTAGATGAACTGATCAATCCTTTAAATTTGAAGGTGGATTCTATTTTGCAACCGACAAATGGAGAGGGAGCACCAAGCACGTCATTAGAACGTGATGATCATGGTATTTGTATTGGGAACCTAATTATCACCAAATGATGGTTAAGTGGCAGAATTATGAGCACATGATTGTGCCTGGAATCAACCATGCAAATTCCAAATCTCCGGTTATTTAGGCCCAAAATCATTAATTAGAATCCACCTCCTAAAACTATCATGTTTCTATGCAATATGTTAAGCAATTTTTAATAATTATAGGAGTACTAAACCTAAAATTAATAGATTAATTCTCTTTTTTTTTTTTTAACATAACACAAGTTAAAAGTGTACTAATTGTATATTTTTGTAATAAATTTTATAGAAAAATATAAAAACAAATGTTATTTTTAATACTAATACTATATGGATAATTTTAATTAAATAATTGATAAATTTAAAGTCAATTGATATTTTTTTATGCAAACTAATTATAAAAATATATAATTAATGCATTATTAAAGACATATGTTAAAAAAATTCATTTTAAAGGTTAAGTTGCACCCCTCTTTTTTGTTGAGTTGAGGCATGCCTTCAGGTTTATTGGTTAAATATTTAAATGTAAAAGGCTTTTTTACTCATTAACAAGAGTTTAAATTTGTGTAAGCCTCCACCACCCCTTCCCTTATAGGTTGAACTACTTACCCTATACTATGAAAATATAAAAGTTAAGGAAATGGAGATGAATTACATAAGATCTTGTAAAATTTATCAACCAAAAGTCTAAATACTTATATTATAAGAACAACAAAAATTAAGTTATTAATCCTCGTGGTTGTTTATGTCAACAATCGTTTTAGTTCACCTGAACCAAATTTTAAAAAAAATCAGCAATCGATCGTTATGCCTGACGCATGAATCCACACATGAGCTGTCTCTTGTCATACTGCCGTTATTAATTTTATTTATCCATACGAAAGAAATTAAGATAGCCAACAATCAAATTTCTGACCAAAACTTAATTAATGTGATTCAATTCCAATCTCGCATATGGACCTCTAATATATTTAGATTTTAAGAAAGAGGTTTGTTACTTTTCTAGTTTTGAGGATTTCCTCAATTAATAGAACTCTATAATAACATTATAATAATATTATGTAATATTATAAATTTATAATTATGATGTATTATTTAGTAAATGAATATAATATTATGAGTAGAATTTTGAATAAAAAATTAATTATATAATGATAAATTATAATTACAAATTTATAATATTATATGAAATTACACTTAAAAAAAAAAGATATCAACTTATATTATAAGAAATTAAGCACAAAAACCTTTAAAATTACATTGTTTTAATAAAATTTTATTGAAAAAGATTAAAACATGATAATTTTTAAAGTAAGAAAGAATGTATTTTAATTTTTTTTCTCGTAATATTTTATTAAAATAATATAATTTCAAAATATTTTTTTTTACTTAATTAGTTGTAGGTCTAACTGAGTAAAGTAAGAAAGAATGTATTTTAATTTTTTTTCTCGTAATATTTTATTAAAATAATATAATTTCAAAACATTTTTTTTTACTTAATTAGTTGTAGGTCTAACTGAGTAAACGTTAATCTCTTGCAATTATATATCATTTTGTTATATTAAATCTGGCAGTTAATTCTAATAAAAAAAATCTGGTAGTTAATTGTAGGGGAGAAAATAAAAGATGGGTTAACGTGCAATTAGAGGTTGTACGCAACTGTTAGTTGGCGATGTGGCCAAAAAAATTGAAACGGCAGAAAGTGAGTCAGCAATGGAAGTATGGAGCAACACATATTAGGTAACGGTTTAGTTAATACCTAAGAACGTACTCCACAACCGACCATAACAATTTTAAAAATAAATAAATAATCCGTTAACCACACACAGTGAATCATGCATAATATTTATATACATTTCTAGGCGTGCCCAATAGGCATATTTAGATATGGGTAGTGATATAAAAATGATTTTTAAAAATAATTTTTATATATTATTAAATAAATTGATATATTTAATATTATAAATTTTAAATAAATAAAAATATATTTATTCAAATAACAAGTAATATTGTA